GTCCACCAGCACCTCAAAGTTGTGACCACACAACACAGTGGCCAAGGATGTAAATTTTAAAAGTAGAATTACACTAAATTTTGGGGTTTAAACGAAACTCCCTTTTTCAAAAACAAAATAAACCCCCACCATATTCACCTCATACACAACTCGGGGCTTGCCGTGCTGCCTTATGTGGATGTTCAAGAGCAGAGCTGTGGCTTAAGGCAATGCAGTGTGGAAAAGAGGCATTGCTGAGCTGGCAGAAAATTCCCAGAGGATTCTTAAGCCAGCTCTGCACCTCCATGAGGATTTGCTGCACAGAAAGCCCGCGGCCACTAGAGGTTCCTCTCAGCCTGTTCCTGTCCCTCCATCCCCAGTAAATCCATTCTTGAAAGCCAGAAGTCCCAGAATTTTGTATACACTATCAGAGTGTCCTTCTTTGTCAAAAGAAGGCAGGGAAAAGTGGTGTGAATAGACTGTTCCAAAAGTGACCTTAGCCTTAAACACCATAAATCACAATTTTACTACTCCCTTAAGGGCCTTAATAATGAAGATGCTTAGTAGCAGGAAGGTGTAACTGAGGCTTGTGAGGAGCTGAGCAGTGCAGGTGGCTGGTTTGGGACCTCACAGGGACCTCAACCTAGGGATGTCCTTGTTTGCATCAGGCAGTGGGAGCTCTGTCCTGCCTGGAGGATGGTGAGAAGGTGGGTGATGTCTCACAGGGCTGGGAGCAGCTGCAGGAGCCTGAACTCCTGGGAAAGGAAGGCTGTGCTCTGTCTCACTGAGGTGCTGCAGTGTGAGAAGAGCCTGATGTTTGCTAGTTGTGCCTTTCTCCTTGGATTTTCTGTGCAAGCTTTTCTGTCAATGTCTCACAGTTACCTCTTTCCTTGGGAGATGTTTTATCACCAGCTGGTGGCATCACATTGCCTCTGGCAGCAAACTTAAAGGGTTTCCTGCCTTTTCAGGCCCCCTGTTGGGTGTTTCCAGACCTGCCCTTCCCAAGCACTCCTTTGGGCTGTCGAGCCTGAGCCACTGGAGGGTGATGGCCCCGCTCCTTGTCCGTGCTGGGGTGCCAAGGGCTGCTGCTGGCTCTGATTTCAGGCCACACAAACAGCTGCTCCCTGGAGCTGGATCCACACTTCAGCTGGGGGAGATCTGAGCGTGTTCCACTCCTGCTTTGCTGTCCTGCTGCTGGCTGCTCTCGGGTGAGTGTGGATAAGGCACCAGGACTGTTGAACACCCTGAACGTGAGGACGTGGCTCCCATTGCTGACACAGCTTCAGGTCATGGCTTGCAGTGTGAGTCACCTCCCTCTCCGAGGTTAGATTGTCCTCCAGGCAACTACC